GGACTAAGAAATGATTATTGCTCAATATGGAGGTCACAGAAGGAATATGTAGGGTTGGACTGATTTTGTGGTGTCCCTGGGACATCCAGATGATAATATCTGGAGGGCTTACTGAGTATAGGGGTCTGAAGCTTGAAAGAATGATGTGGGGCGAATGTAAACAGGCAGGCCATGCCCAGAATTGGATTTCCAGGTCTGTCATACAGGTTGCACGGTTTGGAAAACTTACGCAGGCTTTATAATCTCTAAAATGGTGACAGTGGTATTTTATGTAAAGGGCCAAATACTATCATTGGCTCATATGTCCTTATTCCATGGTACCAACATTCTTATCACACTTACGTTATTAAGAATTAGACGCAACATGTGCGAAGTGGGTAGCACTCAGCTTGTCTTATCACTGTCCTACCTGGGGAAGAGCTGGTCGTCCAGCGTGAACAGTAAGAAGAGACGGGAGTTGAGAAGAGATGCAGCCAGAACCAGCACTCGAAGGGTGACACAGGGGAAGAAAGGCTGGCACAGGCACTGCAGGACAGCTGGAGAAGAGCAGAGACCAGTCACTCAGAGGCAAGGAGGGAGTGGGCAACTGTACCAAATCCCACAGAAACTGGCTAAATTAACGGCCACTGCACTTGGTCACCAGGAACCCACTGATGGTTCTGGAGAGCACAAACTCAGGGAACTAGGGAGAGCTGGGTGTGGTGGTGCACACCTGTAATCCCAGCACTTGGGAGGCTGAGGCAGGAGGCTCGCTGTGAGTTTGAGGCCAGTCTGGGCTACATAGTGAGTTTAGAACCAGCCTGAATTACAAAGCAATACCTTGTCCTAAAAAGAAAAAGAAAAGGAATTCCAACTATGTATGAGGTATGAACAGGACTGAGGTGATGAAGACATGTAGGATAGTCATTCTGAAGGCTGGGTAGGAGTGGGGAAGGACCAAGGTGGTATCTGGGAACTGGGGAACACCCAAAAGCCAGAGAGGAAGTAAGAGAAGAAATAGCCAGAAAGAAATACAGATTTGGGATCTGAGGAGACTGGCAGAGATAGAACCCAGGGAAATGGATTACTAATGATCAAGGGATGCTGTTTATTGAACCAAGAGTTTAGTGACTATGAAGACATTAGATTCCCATCAGGACTGTCTCCTTCGCACTAGCATTTCTCTTCCTCTAGTCCTTAATTTCTGGAAGATTACACTTAGACAGACTAAATTCTTTTAGTGATCAGACCCAATAATAAATCCAACTCATGCCATTCCTTTTAAACTCTTACCCCAAGCTTTCTGCACGCATGCGTGTGTGTGTGTGGGTGAGGGTGCGTGTTGGAGGACTGAACCCAGGGCCTTCCGCATGCTGAGCAAGTGCTCTACCTGACCCAAACTCAAAAGCAAATATATATTTAATCCTAATTAATTATATTTACTGTTGAAGTTGAGAAGACATTTCTCTTCTAAACCAAAGAAATAGTTTTATTATTTCAAAGGAACTGAAGTAGTCATCTCTATTGAATTGAGAATTTGGCCACAGGGGTGAGGTCTTTAGGTCCAGGAAGGTTTCTCCTAAATTCAAGTTATATAATATATAGTAGTACAGTATATACTATTGCATATACTATATAATATTTACTTTCATAATCTCTTACTATTTGCATTACTTGATCTGGGGAGAAGATACTCCGTGTAACTATCCTCAAGCCCTACCAGATTGCCACTGAATTTTTAAATTAGTGTCCATACTGAGAAGTTATTTATCTGTTCTACAATTCCTCCTGTGCAGCCTGGCCACGTTAAATCCCCTGAATAAACATAGGTAATGTCTAATCTATCCAAAGGGACAATAAGAACAGATTCAGACTGGGGACATGTTTAGAAGATCACTAGGAAAGGTAAAGTGTCAGTAAAACGGTGTTCCTTCTTCCATTCCAAGAGAATACTATGAGTATCTGTAAGGTGATACCTGGCTGGTAGAATTTGTTAAACTTCATTCAACTTCTTCTTTCCACCAAATGACCCTCATCAAACTCTAAACCACCCCTACATCAGATCCTATCGTTTTCTTTTTTTTTTTTTCTTTTCGGTGTTTTTTGAGACAAGGTCTCACTATGCAGTTCAGGCTGGTCTTGAACTCACTTTGTAGCCCAGGCTGGCCTCAAACTCGCAGTCATTCTCTTGCCTCAGCCTCCTGTGTGCTGGGATTACAGACATTTTCTTGCCCAAAACCACTTGAGCAGTTTTTCATTATTCTTGGTATAAAACAGTGATGGCCACTTTTTAGAGACAAGTGCCCCAACTTCTACCCCAAACCCACTTATTTATTGCAAAATGCCAACACTGCAATAAAATCTGAATACTGAGGTTTTAGTGTAGAAAAAAGTCATACATTAATATCTGTTGTTTAAAAAAAACTAATAGCATGTGTGCCATAATGGTATAAGGGAAAGAAAGTCCCAACCTGTTAGATGTCTGGTATAAGTTCGTGCTCTCTAAAAGAGAAGAATGAATTTTAGGAACAATGGAGGTTAAGAGCAGAATATATTTACTGGGGGAAAGAAAGCTTCTGTCTGAGAGAGACAGAAGGGGTCCCGAGTGGGTTGCCAAGGACCCGGCCTTTTCTAGGGATTTTTATAGAGCAAATCCACGAGGTGAGGTGAGTCCAAGGTGGGGAACACGGGAAATCGCAAGGTGGGCATGAGGTGGGACAAAACTACGTCAACCAATAAGATTACAAGTGTAATTGTTCAGGAAACATTGATTAAATCGGGATCAAATAGAGAAGCAAGTCATGTAGGAAGCAGGCATGAAGCCAGAGCAGGGCGTTCTCTGTAAGTGATTGGGTTGGTGGCTCTTCTGGGCTTTCTCAAGGTGATAGAAACCTATTTAGAACATCAACCCCTGATGCTTAGCTTTAGGGAAGTATGTGGGTGCATTTGTCTTACCTTTTGTCTTAAGGTCAGCCCACAGCAGAGGTGCCTGTCACTTCCACAGTGGCAAGGTACCTCATCTTCTGCCCTGGCTCCTTGGAGGGCGTAGCCGTATCTGACTGGCTATAATATTTTATCTGACTCCCTTGTATAAAATGAAAATTCTCTCATTGCCTGCTGCAAGGAGCAGTCCTGAGCCACCCTCACTTCAAGTCGCGCAGCGCCTATATCTTTAGGTTCTGTTTACACTTTGGAGTTTTTAAACAGTTAAGGACTTAGCTGGTCTACCTTGGGACTCTGGGCAAACTGTTCTTTTTCCCTGTAGATCTCTATCCCCACCACAGGCACCTATCTTGATAGAAAGTAGGCTAATTTTAATTCCCACCCCCCCCAAAAAAATTCTGTTCCTGCTCTAACCAACACATCAGGGAAAAGCAATGCAGTACAGGGATTCGAGGGGCTCGCGTTCAAGCTCCAGAATCTCAGGACAGTCTTAGCCACTCTGCCCTCGCTGGGACATACCTGACACCGCAATTTAAAGCAGATGAAGGTTATTTTGGCTTCAGTTTCACAAATTTCAGTCCGCGCCCAGCAGGCTCGGAGACAGCACAGCACACTGAAGGGCATGCCGCGGGGCAGAGGTGTTCCCGCCACGGCGGCCAGGAAGCAGGAGGGGAAGGGCAGAGGGAGACAACCTTTCCATAGCCGGCCTCGGTAACGCACACCCTCCAACCAGAACCCCTTCCCCATAATCCAATAACCTTCCGAGCACGCGGGGCTTTGGGGGTCACTTTAGGTCTAAACCTTTTAATAGAGATGATAGAAGTTATTTTTTTTTTTGTCTTTTTGATACAGGGTCTCTACGCAGTTGAGCTCACTTTGTAGCCAGGCTGGTCTCGAACTTGCAACGATTCTCCTGCCTCAGCCTCCCGAGTGCTGGGACTAGATAAAAAATATTTTGAAGATTACATTTGTTAACATAGATGGCAAACATGGCGAAGAGTGGAAGTGCTCATTTTAGCACATACCCTACTTACACATCTGTTTGCAGTTGCAGTCAGTTACCTTGAGAGTAGCACTTACCCTGGGCCCCCTCACCCCCTGGTTAGTTACTGTACTTGTCGAACCCTGTGACTGAACTCACTGGGACTGGTCCTTCCCCGCTCAGAAGCCACGCGGGGATTCCGCTGAACAAGACATGCGGAGCCCGCAATACACGCCTGTCTGGCTTTCGGAAAGAGAACCTCAGGGCTACGCGAAGCCCAGGTGTAACCGCAGGGCCTCCCCAAGACAGGACCGAGGAGAAGCTCCCTGCGTGGACCGGGCACAGCCCCGGAAGACGGCCGACCCCACCCGCACCACAGCAAGGGCCTCGAGCACCGGAAGACATACAACAGCCAATAGCCGGGACTGTCCCGCCTCCGTCCTGAGATCTTCTGACGATTGGCTGGCCGCCCCGCAGCTCTCCTCCAGCCCCGCCCCTGCCCGCAGTCTTCACGGGGATTGGCTGTCCGCCCCGCAGCTCTCCTCCAGCCCCGCCCCTGCCCGCAGTCTTCACGGGGATTGGCTGTCCGCCCCGCAGCTCTCCTCCTGCCCCGCCCCTGCCCGCAGTCTTCACGGGGATTGGCTGCCCGCCGCTTCGGTCCGCCCCGAGCCCGCGCCGCCTCCCTAGTTTCCGCGCGGCGAGCCGGTCTCCGGCCTTTTTGTGCCGCGAGGTTGACGGTGAGCGGTGTGGGCTCCCGCGGGAGGTCCCGGTCGCCGCGGGGTCGGGTGGGGGCTGGGCCGCCGCGTG